GTCGACGAAAGAGCACAATGCTCATTGTGCGACGCATTGTATCGATGTATCAAAGATTTGCGCCGCCGTCAGCTGCATCAAAACGAACGTACCCCGCCTCATAGTTCTCCCTCTTCCCCCGATTGTTTTCTCTCTCCGTCGTTCTCGCCCGTCATCGCGTCTCCTCGTTGCCGATCCCGCCCCGTCGTCGGAGACAAGACCGTTCTCTCTCTCTCTCTCTCTCTTTCTCTTTCTCTCTCTCTCTCTCTCTCTCTCTCTCCCTCTCTCTCTCTCTCTCTCTCTCTCTTTCTGTTTCGTACGAGCGAATGTCGACTCTATGCCGCGTAATGACTGTCTGCAACGCGCCGCGCCGAGTGTTTTCAGAGTCGCAAAGTCGCGGGTGTCGTCTTCCGCGGACCGAGCGGCGACTCCCCCTCTGCACGCGCGCGCGATACAGTTTCTTCGACATTTCGTTTCGTCGCTTCATTTTCATTTTCCCTCTAGCGCGCCCGCCTCGCGTTCGACGCCCTTTGATTTTCTTACTGTCGGTTTTTAAAAGCCTGCGACACGGTGCCCGTTTGTGTCACGAGACGAGTGTCACGTCGCAGGTGTATGTGTTTGCGTCGCGCACGCGTCATCTTCTCCGCAGCAATTACGAGTATGAAACCTTGCAGATTCGAAATGCACAGTTTTCACATAAATATAAACCGTAAAGGATTCCTCTTCCGCTCTCTCTCTCTCTTTCTCTCTCTTTCCCTCTTTCTTTCCTCCGCTTGCTTTTTTGTTTCTCTTTATGAGGCGGTATCTCATCACAAATGTATTTGTATTGCGCGCGACTCAAGACCGTAGGGATGTTTATCCTCCTCCGGCTCTTCCTCTCTTCCCGACGCTTTTCCCGACGCCATGCTATTTTCTTGTACCACGAGGAGCCGCGAAACTCGCACGAGTTCTATATTTCACAAATTTCTGGCAATATTTCTGGGCTCTCTCTCTCTCTCTCTCTCTCTCTCGTGTCGGCTGACAGCTGTAATTCGGACTCTGTCGTTCCTCATCGGGAATTCCGCAGAGATTACGCACAGCGATTGCTGAATTTTTCGCAGAGGGAACGCGCCGCTCCCTCGTCGCGAGCGTTATCACCGCGAATATCTATCGCGTATTACACGTTTAATCGGCACTGCGGCGCCCGCTGTTTGCTTCTTCCGTTCTGCTCTGTTCCTCGTCGGCGGTCGCGCGTGAAAGCTTTAGGTATCAACGCCCTTCTATCCTTCGCCGTAGGGTGAGTGGTAAGGAGGAAGGACGGTCTCTTCTTTCGTATATAGCACATCTTTCTGAGACGTTATTACCGGATACCACCTCTAGCGAAGGCTTCGGAGAGAGACTATCGCTCTTTTACTTCGAATTAGAGATTCGACGAGAAGGAGAGAAAGAGAGAAAAAAAATTCACAGCCATGCACCATCCCCGCAAGATAATATTTTGTTACAAGCGCAGGATTTGGTTAGACGCGTAATCAACGACGGGAACTCTATCGCTCGCAATTTACTGTCGTTTCGACTAAAAGCTTCACAGAGAGATTCGCACTGTGAAAAATATCATAAAAGCGTTTCCTTCTCTTCTTTTTTTTTTTGTTTTTTTTTACGCAAAAAATTTCGTTAACTTTCATTTGCACCGAGAGCTCTGGGATATCGATCGTTGCATCGTGTTCGCGTGGAAGTTTGATCAAAACCGGGCCGTGTGTGTACATTTGCACGCATGTTCACCTGCGTATACGTGTCGTCTGCCCGCGCACACGGTGTACACTGCAAACCCGAGTGTGTTATTTTGACGCGTGTAAGCTGAAGCTTCCTTTACGCGTATCTTGTCTTGTCTTAAATCACGTCGTTTAACGCGTTTAAACGCGTTAAACGACGTGATATCGAAATGCATCAAATGACGTGACTTCAGACGGCGAGAAACGCGTGAAGAAAGCTGAAGCTTTCTTCACGCGTCAAAATAACACACTCGGGTTTGCAGTGTAGACAGTGTTCATAGAGTGCGCGTAATCGCACAAAGCGCGCAGCTTGAAAAAGACGGGAATGAAAAGTAGCGGGATACTACTTTCAGAGCGCTGCCCGACTAGAAATTTTGATCAGGTTCACCTAACATTGATAAGGACCTAATAGAGTGAATGAAAGGTAATCCTAAGTAAGTCAGTCCTAACGACAAATGAATAAGGAAGACCTTTATAAGGTTATAATGATTAGGTCCACATTAAAACCTTAATGTACTAACCTAGTGTATGATATAATATGGTTCAGTTACTCAGATCCTTGTCGGGATCTTATTCATTGTACCTAATATGATTTGCATTATCAAGTTTTAACAAAACAATTTTTGGGTGTCATTTCCAAATATAAAGATGTTTGCGTTGAAAAAATACTTTAGATCACTTGAATATATTTGTAAAATGCTATAGAGACTATCCTTTTTTAAGCAGTCAATAAATAGTTGTAAAATTAACGTGACATGTGACTTTTCTCTTTAACATTACTTTACGTCTTGTCACCTTGTGATACCTTTATGATCTTATGATATTCATCTTATGTTTCTTTTCCGAAACATTTTACAAGTATGCACAAGCGATCTAAAATATGATTTCATGCAAATATTTTTTTTATTTGGAAATGACATGAAAGAATTTTCAGCGTATCATTTCTTATTTCTAATGCCGTCATCCAATATAGCCGTGGCGAGTAATCAGGAGCCACAATTTGAAAAAAAAAACGTAATAAGGATTCCATAAGGTAACTCAATAAAGACCTGACTATGAATCCTTATTAAGGTCCTAATATCCACGCTGCGTTACGTGACTTACCAGGACCTGATAGTATGACCTTATTGGCACTTGATGTCCAAATGAGGTTAACCTGATCAGGACTATGGGATCAATTTCTAGTCGGGGGTGAAGCGTCTTTCGCGCGTGTCGTCGTCGCGGGCGCGATTAGAGACACTTTAGGGCGGGTGAAGTCGAGCGTGATCGTCGCAGGACGACTGTAACTTTGGAGCGCGAGCTGCGCTCGAATTGAATGGATAATGTTGCGAGAAAACACGAGCGCTCTCCTTTTCTCCCTCTTGTCCTCTCGCTCGCCCGGTCGCTCGGCTCCTCCTTCCTCTCTTTCCGCCTTCCTCGTTCTCAGATTCCACTGAGTTTTCGGTACATCTGCTAAGCGCATTACAGGATAAAGGGGAGTTTTCCGCCTTACAGATGCTTGTCGGGAGAGGCGCGCGCGAGCGAACGTGTGCTCTACTGCAGATTTCTTCATCGTCCCCGCGCTTCGGACGCATTACACGTCGCGGATCCGCGCGAGAGAGAGATTTACGATTAACAGCCCGTCTCATAAGGCATCGCGCATGAATTCATGCACGAATGGCGTTTCTCTCGCGATTCTCGCCGAGAGTGAGAAGCGAAGGAGCGAGATTTTTCTCCCGTCACCCATCGCTCGCGCCTCCCTCTTCCTCTCCGTCTCTTTTTCCCTCCTTCGAAGATGTCTCACTTGTGACAACGGCCATGATGGGAAAACGCGACGAATCGAGCAAAATATCAAATGTATAGCGAGACCGAAGTCGCGCTTGACATTTATAGTCTCGAGTCTGGTCTACTATGTTATTCGGATCGCGAACAAACGCAATCCGATGGGGGGTGGGGGCCGGGACGCGGATCGAAAGGGAAGGGGTAATAGCTCTCCGTGAATTACCTTTTCGCAGACTGTTGATAAATCAGAAATCTCGCCGCCGTTTCCGCAAAAAGAGCGACAGAATACTCGGGACGTCCATTTCGCCGGGTTCGTCGCCAGGTAGTAAAGAACCGTGGAGAGGGCGCTCTCTCCCAGCGGCGGCGCGGTGCGTGATAAAACGCACAATATTTCCCTATCACGCGCGAACGCGCGCGCGGTCGCCGGAATAAATTAAGCATTCTCGCAAATTTTCGGAAATGTGACGGAGGGCGCGCATCGCGTGTTATAATGAAGAGTTACAGCGACGTTAACATTCTACGATGTCGGAGGGGCAGGAAGAGCGTGCGAACGCAACCGAGAGAGAGAGAGAGAGAGAGAGAGAAAAAGAGAGAGAAATATACATATTATACACAAGTATGGGTAGAGAGAGAGATAGAGAGAGAGAGAGAGAGAGAGAAACGGTGTTGTAAAACATGCTCGCTTCACAGTTGACGCGAGTGGCGGCGAACATGAAGCATCTTCGTGGCTCAACCATGAGTGATCGCCGCGCGAATCCTCGCGATTCATACCGCGTCTTCGCATCCTCGCGCCGCGCCGACGACGAGCCGGCGACTCCATTCGAGTGTGATAAGTAGCTGGTAGAGCGCGCATCACGGGAATCTCTCGCTCTCTCCTATCATCGTCGTCACACGCGGAGGTGCGCGCGTGCGAAATGGCGCATGGAGACGCGCGTAATCGCCGGAGAATACCCGAAGAGGAATCGCTCGTACGCGCGTGTGCGCTGTCGAAGCCTCGGCTCGTCGCATCGACAGGAGGAAAAAGAGCGCAAGAGAGAGAGAGAGAGAGAGAGAGAAAGAGGAAGAGAGAGGGAGGAAGATAGGGAGAGAATGAGAAATCGCCGCGAAAAATGAAAGAAACAGCTCGCGTACGCCGACGCTTCGATCCCGTGGAGCGGAAATCGCTAAAAGCGCGAACGTCAGAGTAACGGGAATTCTCCCGGCTCGAGACGGGGAGGGACGGCAGGGCGAGACCAGGGCGGTGGCGTTTGGTCGCGATGAGCCAAGTTTCAAATTGTTAATCCGTAGCACGCGCATAGTAACACCGATTCGCCTCCCCCTCCCCACCCCCCCCCCTCTTCGCCTCTTCGGGGCTGCTACCGCGACAGAACTTCGTTCCGTGTTGATAAGTAACGAGCGACGTGCCGAGCGACGGCGAACGGAATCGCCGAATCGCTTGGTCCTCTCGCCTCCTCGAGGACGCCGGCGAGGGAAAAGCTTGTAACAGCGCACGTGCGACAAGGGCGTACTCACCGTTGAGGACGTGGACCGCGACGGTGGTCTTGGCTTTGCCGGCCACCATGCAGCTGTAGTTCCCGGCGTGTCTCGGGCTGGCTCTCTCGACGATGAGGGTACTGACAATCACGAGGACCTCCTTGCCCGCTGAGATCTCCGTCGTCCTGTTCTCGCTGGAAATGAGATCGTGCCCCGTGAGTTTCTCTCTGTCCGGCTCACATACCGCGCTTAACGCACACGAGAAAGCGAGTCTCCGCTCATATATATATATATAGGGTGTCCCGGCGCGTCTTTTTGGCCGGACGAGACCGGACTAGTCGTATCCCGATTTTGCTGTATAGCGGAAGCTCTCGATCTCGGCTATCGCCGTATTTCGAAACTCGAAGCCATTCGAGCTCGATAATTTTCCGACCATTCCGTGAGCTGAAATTTTGTCCGACGCCGAGCAACGGCTTGAGCAAAGGTTCGCGGATCGAAGTGCACTTTAGTAACGAGTTGAGGTTTCACATTCGCGTTTCCCAGTCGCGTTCATTTCGCTAAACCTCGGGGCTTGAGAGAATCCTCCAGCGAAAGCAACTTCGAATTAAATGATGAATAAAAGCCCGATATCCATTTCTCTGCAGCGATTGGAGGAGTCTTAGGCCGCTACTTCGATATTCTCATTGGGGAAATGGAGTGAATTTGAAAAAATTGCGGAAGAGCAAGGCGAGAAATATCCGAAACGCCCTGTGTCATACGTCTACGTTATCATCGAGTAATTTGAAGGGGGGAGAAAGAAGGGGCGATCTCGTAGAACGCTCGTGAGGCGTTGTTAGAGGAACTCCCTAGCCTCCGCGTGTGAATTTTTCGACCACGCGCGTTGTCCGTCGATTTCATTAAGAAGCTCGTTTAGGGACGCCGGGCGTCGGGCTTTATTGCGGCGTGCATTACTTGAATTTCGTACGCGTCACGAACGGACAATCGATAACGAGACGGAGTTGCCGTTCGTCTCTGGACGTTTTTAATATCGAACATCACGCTCGCATCAAGACACCCATCTCGATACGGAGGCGAAATTTTCCAGTTCGGAGCTCGCAATTACGGCACCTTTACTTAAATCGGCAACATTATTGCTCGAATAAAATGCGATATAATACAATCGAATATTTATATCGTGCATTGTCGCGAAACGTGATTACATAGCAACGAAGTTGAAAATTCACGGTTATTTGTCGAAGCGTGCGAATGAACGGACACAAAAATTCCTGGGTGGGAAATAATTTCAAAGAAAGGAGGGTTCTCTTTAGGAGTTTCCTCCGCAGCCTCATATCTTACGTATTATTACAACGACCCCCGCCCCTCGCTCGCCCGTGCGTGCGTCGTTCGGACTTGATACGTCTCCGTTCGTACCTCGAAAAATTTGATATTGAGAAACTGTCGCGATACGGAGTGTTTACGGAGCACGTAAGAACGTTCGCTCTTCGCACTGGCAAGAAATTGTAGAATTCTAAAATGGGGTATGATCGTGCTTGCCTCCAGGCTAAATATTCGCCCGTATTTCGAGCGCATATTCTGTTTTATCGCTTTATTGCGCCAAGTTTCTAACAAAAGCACAATAAGACAGAGAGAGAGAGAGAGAGAGAGAGGTCACTATGGAGGTTTTCGTCGCAAATAAAGTTCCCGCGATAGTCATCGAAAAGAGTAAACGTGCGCGTAAAAGAAAATTCTATTCGTACGGACGCGCGCGCGGATGTGGAATGTGGAAAATTCCTGCGTCGCTGCATTAAGAAGCGCGAGCAGGAGCGAGAGAGTGTACAGGAGAATCTTTTGTATCGGCTCACGTACGAGAATAATACCTTGCACGATTTTTAGATATTTCCCGTGCTATCGTCGTCCAGGAAGGAAACGAGTGTTGGTGAAACGAGAGGGGGTGAAGGAGGGAGGGAATGTTCGCTCCTTTTAGCGATGTAGAATCTTCGAGCGAATCTTTGAGGCTCTTACGTATTCCGGCTTTGTCGCGATCCGATAATTTAATTAAAAACTCGCCCTTTACGCCGGGACTGCGGCGAAATCGTCCCGGGGAACGTTGCGCGGCGGACATTTCTTCTCGTTCTCGCGATCGGTCGAAATCTTTCATACCTGCTCAATCGATCGCAACAAAAGGACTCCCTTGTGGTAAGATTATTACATCTTTTTGTCGTTTCTCTCACATATTGGATCTATTGAAACTGGAATTAAAGCGCGAGGGCACACCGAATGTTTAATTATCCCGACAGTTCCGATATGCGCGGGAGACATCAATGAGAATCTGTTCGAAAATTTGCAGGCTGGCAGTATTGACGAAATCGAATAAAAAAATCTTATTCAGTCCGCGAGAATTGATGCTCTCGGAGCATCATAAACACGCCGAATTTCCGCTTCGATAACACAGTTTATCCATTCGTATGTTTATGTTTGTCGATTTACATTATTGAAAACGGAAGATTATCAGAGATTACGCGGAATTATTTGATCATTTTGTAACTTTAATCTCTTATAACTGAAATAATATCGTGATATAATTCTCTGTTTTTATGTCGCAAGCGACAAACAAATGCGGATGATTGCCTGCATGATGACCTGCATAAAATATTGAAATAAACAATCGCGCTGTATCACTTTATATCACTCGGGAGGATCGCGAACTGTGTGCCGTCCGAATATTTCATTCTTCTTTTTCGCCGATGTGCCGAGTGTGCCGAGTATCTTTAGATCGCCTCACTTCCAACACTTTATACTCGTAATAAAAAAGTATATGCGGAAATAACTCTGAGGTGTGGTCTCAAGTCCTAAACGCGCGAGGAGGCACTCGGAGCGAAGGAATACGCGTCTTTTATACTTGACTACTCAAAATTGACGAGGGACACTTCTCCTCCGAGCCTTCCGCTGTGTGAGTGCTGCGCGCTCGGAATACAGATCGGAGTGCCTTGAGATACAAAGGGGTGAATGCGCCACCGTGGACGGGGCGGGTATCAGGGAGAGAAAGGCGGGACGACTTATCGAGGCGATCGCACATGTTGCGTCCGAATGAATCGGGAACAGGCGGTCGCAATGCGGAACAATGGCTCTCCGAGCACTCACCTGACGTCCTCGGTGAGCGTCTCGTCTCCTCTAGTCCAAACGACAGATTCGTTCAGCGACTCGAGCACGTCCCTCGCTTCGCACCTGAGCCTGAGGACGCTGCCGGCCTTCAGGTGTCTCTCCTTGGAAACTATACGCCCGGAATCGTCGCTGATCGTCAGAGCTGGGGCTGCAACACGATCCAAAACACACGTGCACAATCCCGTCCCCTCGAACGCCAATTGGATTTCCTTCTTTCTCTGTTTCCCCCAACAACGCGAGAAGCGATTCGAAAACGTTTCAACTTGCATGCGAACTAAATACCGACGTAAAACGAGAGAAAACAATTGAGACTGGCGATATACAGTCGCTTGTTAACGAATGGCGTTTAAGCGTAATTATTCGATGCGGCCGATGTAGCCGACACTTTTCCCCCGATTCCTCCGATTTCCCCGACACTTTTGGAAGTGTCGAATCGAAGCAACGAGAGATCAGCCTTTGTGGAATAATCAACGCTTAACATCGTTTCGACCGGCTGTCTCGAATATCGACGAAATATCCCGCAATTTCACGTTAATCCGGCTGTTCTTCATCGATTCACGTCTTTCACGAGCCAACGAGTCAGTGTCGTGATCTTTTAAAAGTGGAGACTTATCGGTTACGAAAACAACGTGCAGCGCGACAATACACTTGAAGCCTGAGCTCTTGAAGACTCGATCCACTGCACTACAGATAATTGGGGAGAAGTAGTGCGGAGAATATAGATAACGCTTTTTCTCCAATATTTCCAAGATCACGTCGGTTCGTTTAAAACGTCGTAAAAAGCACGAAGCGAGTGGAAAGCAAAGCGCGCGCGACTGGCCTTTCACGTGGAAACCACAAACACCGCGCCCACGGATTGGTCGATCTCTTATTCATAAGCCGTCTATTTTTTACTGTTTCACTAAATGGTTGCGGTGCGCGGTATCGATATCGGCCGGCGAGCCGTAAAATTATAATAATCTGCGCGATCGCGCGCCGTCCGGAGCGCTGAACGTCGAGGTCATAACGAGGTTCGAATTATTGCGACCGACCGAGTCCTTTTCAATAATTCGCCCTCGGACTCGGAGAAATTCCATTACGTCGTCGCGTTTCCCGGCGTTTCCGATAATCGAAACGACGGATGCATTTAAAATCTATATCCTCGCTCCGCAGCAGCCATCGTCACGTAACCAACCGGCGAACTAACGTCGCGGGAGATAACAAGATCACGGAGTTGTCGGAAGGAAATCGCAGAAGCAGTTCGGAAATGTTCTTTTCCCTCATTGCGGCATTTCCGTCACGATGCCGCTCGAGTATTTGCCTTTATCGAAACGTCGCTTTCAGCAAACTGAGCCGACTGAGAATCACCGCGAATACACCGGGAATAATGTAATATATCATATTAGCTAATGGATAATTTCGTCGCGCGTCGTGTTCGTTGGTGGTATAACCGTGTCTCTCGTTATTAGGCAGCCGGCAGGGAAGATAACGCGTTCCATTTCGCCGCGATTGTCCGCTACAGAAGCCAACATGTACGCTTTGATCTGCTCTTCTTATGTCAAACACAGTTGTGCACGCTATTGTGAGAGAGAACGCTACCCAGGGAGGAAGCGCTTTCGGTGCAATTGCGCCGAATTAGCGAGCAGGACGCGAAAACGGATAAGCAGTTGGGCAAATAAATGAAAAACATTACTTGTTGCAAAATTCACATAGTTTAGCGGAATAAAAGTTATCGTCGAATTTCCACGATAAAAGAACATTTCGAAAGAAGCGGAATTCCCCCCGGCTACGGTAACGGGAATGCCTAAAATTGCAATTCGCGCATACTTTTCGCGCCGCTCGCATTTGAGAATTCATCGCGCGGGGTGCGAGGTATACCCGCCTAACGGCGCTAATATCGAGCTCTCGTTTCGCAAAGCATCGAGCTATTTATCTCTAATCTCCCAGAGCCGTCTCGGAATTGATAAATTTCTCACGGCAGCGCGCGAGCGAGTGGGAGAAAATTCCGGATCCCCCGGAAGCTGTTTACTCGACAGATGAAACGGGCCGTCCGACATGTGGAATCACGTACTTCCGCCTCGGTTAGGCGCAAACGCGGCGGCAAAACGGCATCGGGCCACGGTTACGTCGTATCGTCCATATCGATGAAAGCCGCCGACGCAAAAAGCTCTCTCCGACGAACCGGACATATGCTCGCGCTCGCAAGCTTTCGAGGCAGGAAATCGAGAACGGGCCCGTTCGTGACCAGATGCGTAAACGCGTCTCGGAAATACGTGCGCCGCCGCGCGGTGTCGCTTTTGCACTCGGCTCTCGCGGAGAAGGATCCGCACGTTCGTTCGCGCGAGCGAAAGAATCGCGCGAGCGAGCGAGCGAGCGAGCGAGTCTGTCGTTAGCATTCAGTGCAGCCGCCCAGCAGCGATTCTCAAGTCGGTTGCTATGCAAATTTGATGGTACCACTCGCTCGACGCCCATCGAGCGAGTGGTGCCCTCCTTCAGCCACCCCTTTTTCTCTCTCTCTCTCTCTCTCTCTCTCTCTCTCTTTCTCCCTCTCTTCCCCTGTCTCGCGTTCTCTCTCACTCCCGCTTTTGAGCCTTCTCCCGGCCCGTTTTTGTCTCGTCTACGTGATATCGACCCTTGTAAGTTACACGCTACGAGTGGAAGTTGATGGCATTATGTGGCGCTAGAATGCTAATAGAGCGAAATCCTTCGGTCGCTCGCACGTCCCGGAGGCTCTCGAGATAGCGATGACTCTATGACGTGAGAATTCGAGATATCCTCTCGAATGACGTATGTAATAATTACGCGCGCGATCGGAGATCAGAGAGTCTTTGTGTCTCTTTTGACTACCCTCCGTCGTTACTTAGAATCGCTCTCGATCGTTAACTTATACAGACACGCTTCGTCACTTTAGCCGCTTAGCCCTTCCTAGTTGATCCGATGCGACACGTGTGTGGTTTCTGTAGTTCTTTCAATTAGCCTGGTATTTATTAAGAGACAGAATGCTTTAGGAGACATTCAAACTCGCGTGCCACCTAACACCATTGTATACCCAGAGATACTTTAATCTGTACATATTCTATATTATTAAGTGCAAATATCTCGTCCTGATTCATCGGAAGATTCATCAATTTTACATATTCTCAGTCTCGGTTATTATGTATTATTGCAATGTTGTAATTGATACCGATGAAATTGTGCAGATGGGCACGAATACGAGTCGATGCGACATGAATAATGCGATATCTACAGCGTCGGCCGAACAAAATTGATTGTACGACGTGGAGATTGCCCGATGCGCATCGCGCATCTATTGCGTAAATAAAAGTTACGGTAGAGCGCACTTTCAACACATACTCACACGCAGATACACATGCGGACATAGACAAACGCATATGCATACGCTCTCTGTAACGCTCGGACGACCCTTGATTAATAGCCGTAATTCTGGGGATGACGACACAGCGAAACCACTTAGGGCGAAATGAAGTTGTCAAGCGGCAGGCCCGACTCGATACCCGAGTGCCTTTATACCGGTAAAAGCGAGAGTTCAAAAGTTAAAGGGACTCGCGATGGAATGCGCTTTAACCGTCCGATGCGCTTCGGGAGTCAAATTGATCTTACGCGCTGCGTGTAATTTTCCGATCGCGCGTGCAACTTTACGAGCACACCGGCTCGCGCAAGTGTTTATTGCTCGGCGGGCAACATCCGATGAAAAATTATTTTCAGCTGTAATTGCTTCTTTCTCTTGCCTTGAAGAAACCTACAAAACTTTTTAATTCGCTCGAAGCAAGCTGCGAGAAAGAGAGAGAGAGGAAAGGGGCAAGAGAAGAGCTAAAAATACCGAAATATATGTACCTTTAGATTTAAAAGAGAGTAATTAAACGTGAAGCTGTCACGTTTCCAGACACTTTTAGCTACGCGACGGTACTAAGATCTCATAATCTCGTAATTTACGACCGGCGAATATCATTCGGAATCCACGAAATTACCCGTCGACTTGAACTAAAAAAGATCTGTCGTGCCTGTCGCATAAAATTATTGAAACAAAAACGAAATTCGGCTTTGAGATATCGGTCATTTTTCTGGACGGAATAAGCGACAAGCACCGACGCGAAATTTAACGACCAGAAAATTAACGAGGTCTTTCATTCCTTTTTTTTTTTCGATTCCTTAATTGATAATTTGCCACCAGTCGGAATTCACTCGTGAAAAAGACGTGTTGTCTCATTGTTGTCTCGATAACGCGATAGCGATTAATTTTAGGAGAAAAGCGAAAAAAAAACGACGAGTCCTTCGTGTCAACACTGTTGTTGGCTCGTCGAACGGACAATGTTGCGTATAATTTGACGATCTCGAAGGAAATGGAGGATTTCGCGAAGTGATAATGGAGGGCCGGCGCGTTGGGAGAACGTGTCGTCGCGTGACACGTTTTTCTGACGAATACCGAACGCATCCCCGCTGCGGATATCACCGGTACACACACGATTCGGTGTCCTCGCATAATAAGGTACACAGATGGATCACTTAAATGGGCGGGGCGGAGCAATTCATCATGCCACGTGCACTTACCAAAACCACGCGCCTGATTGATCGCGACATATTGCGGGTAAATAATTATTATTGCGGGTGCCATCGCGTCGGAGGATCGACGATGCTCTGATCGATTTTTTCTTTTCGCACGAGACAGGTGACGCGCGGACGGCGTGAAATATGCGTGAGTTATCACAATCTTAATCATATAAACGCTCGCAAATGGCATTACAGATTTATGCCCGACAATAATGCCTCAAGCACATGTCGTATTTGGGAGATAAAATTATACCACTGAGTACGAAATTAAATTACAATTACGATATTAAATTATCGTCGGGAGAGAAGGAGAAACATCGCGCAAGAATTGTCCGATGTGCGCTCATTGGAGAAAAAGAAATACAAAAGAGAGAGCTCGAGTTGTTCACTCAATGCTTGTTCCGCGAATAACAGGAAAAATGGAAGTAAAATGAAACGTGGTAGGAAAATGGAGGCAATAATCTGGAAGTTTGGAATTTCTTCTCTTTTCCCTTTACTTTCTTCCCGATGAATCCCGATGGTTCCTACGGTTTTCAATTCGAGGCAAGAATCAGCCCCTGCTTATTTTCAGCGTCGCAGTGCGAGCCGGCGGGCTCTCGT